AGAACTCGATGTCACCACAGGACTCACACGGACTCACAAGTTAGATCAGGACTCGATCGTGTCATCTCAGAAAAATCATTGGGTTATCTCACGCAGTTTCTTGTGGGGATCAAAATGAAGAAAACACAGATCGGATAAATGTGGAAATAATGTGTTTGAACGATTGATGCTGTAAGGGTAAATTCATTGAAACTGCCAACAGTATTGGCTAGCAATACCGTCGCTGACCAAAAACTTGGATGACATTGACCATTGAAGGGCATTCATTTCCAGGGTTTCACACTGTAGCATTTGCGCTTGGGTGAAGCCGGTGATTGGATGCTGTGGATCTGTCAAATCCTCGCCCACAAGCAGTGGATCCTAAAAAGAACTTCCGGATGAACCCCCAAGTACATCAGATCGATAGTACAAAATACATGGTTTTTCCCGAATGATCCCGACTGCGCAGCGAAGGGTTCTCGTTTATCTTTGGGGTGTGCGGGTGGAGGTGTGTTCGCTGGAAGTGGCTTTCCCGGCTGCGACCGTTTGCCACCGTGCGCAACCGTTCGCGATGCGGATTATCTGGCCGTGCCTATAGCTAACATTGCAAAAACTGTCATGTTTGAAGGCTTTGAAGCACCTGACATGTAGTTTTGTGTGGCAGGCGTGGCAAGTCGTGACATTCCACATGTCGATTTTTTTTTGTGTGACAGGAGCAGTACTTTCGAAAGGTCTTTGTCAGATGACTTTCATTTCTTGTGGCAGCGCAGCACCTCAGAGATGTCCATTTTTTTTCGTGGCCGGGGCAGTGCTTCAGACATGTGGTGTGATGTGTTTTTTGCAAATTGCAATAGTGTTGTGTGTTACAAAGCGCAAATGTACTGGCCGGCACAGACCATGGTAAGAGTGTCATTTTCCTGGGGCGCAGTACTTGGTGAAGTTCCCTCCTGGGTAGAATATCATTTTTTGTGGCAGACGGACTCTACACTCCACAATCTACACTGCACTCGAGATTCTTCACTCTACCCTCTTCACACTCTACATTCTAAATGCTACACTTCAACTCTACGCTCATCTACAGTACAGTCTACACATCACACTCCACTACACTCCACACTCCACACTGCGCACTCTGCACTCTACACTCGGACCTCTCCACTTCGCATTTCACACTCCTTACTTTACACTTAAGTTTGTTTTTTTTATGGGAAGTGCTTGTTTCGTTGGAGATGGTTGCAAGTGGTGGGAGCCTTGAAGTCGTTAGACAAATTCTTGATGCATGAACTGGACGTGCCCTTAGGGTTGATACTGGGGGCCCTGTGCGAAAACAACATACCCTGGTTCTAGGCTGTGTCGGAATATGAATCAAGGGCAACGTGAGCGCTCAAAGTGAGATTTCATATCGCGAGAAGTATCGGCTTGACACGAGAGGGGACGGGTTTGATTTGGGCGTTCATTTTCACACAAGTCAAAATAGGGTAATAGATGGTAATAGCAACCATGGACTTATAATGGCAGCAACCAGCAACAACATTCAACCCTGAAGAGTCAAGTACTGTTTCTTTGATCCAGTATGTTATATCGTTTACGTACCGATAAAGAAAGATAGGTTTGGGGTTTAGGACGGTAGTATTGCTTTAAGAAACAATACTTGACTCTTCAGGGTTGAATGTTGTTGCTGGTTGCTGCCATTATAAGTCCATGGTTGCTATTGTGAGTAACGCTGCTAGCTGGTTAACGTAGTATAGGGTCTTGTAGCTGCATGTGCACTTGTATAGATGTAGTGTTTTTACCGCAGTTTGGCCCAAACGATTTGCGACGTGAAAAAGGGCTGCTGCCCAGGCTGTGCCCTTGTGATTCAAACTTACTTTTTCTAACTGAGCCCAATCTATCCCTGGAAGGGAAGCTACCTTGCATTCTCCGCAGCTATTACCATCTATTACCTATTTTGACTTGTGTGAAAATGAACGCCCAAATCAAACCCGTCCTCTCTCGCATCAAGCCGAGCAATCGAACAGTGCAGTAGGTGGAAAGGGGCTCGGTGGTTGAACCACCCGAAGGAGCTGAGACTCCTGGATTACCGGCTGTGCCGGATAGCGCTACTGAGAGCGCATCAGGAGCTGACTATAGCTCCGACGATCACGAAGACAAAGTGAAGGTGGAGACGGCTGAGCCCGCTCGACTGGCAGAGCCAGGACGCCCGGCAGCGCCGGAGCAACTTGGTACGGCAGAGCCGGACAAGAAAGATGAAGCTGCTGCGGTTCCCAATGCCGGTGATGCAGAGCATGGGGACCGACGAAAGAGAAGGTCCCGCCATAGGACATCAGATAGCCGAGAAGATGCACGACAAGAGCGCGAAGATAGAAAAAAGAAGAGGAGAGAGCGCCAACAGGCGTTGCAAAGAAGCCCAAGTGTCCGAGAGCCGAGGCAAAAGGACTCCCGACGAGCCCACGAAGGTGGCCGTAACCGCGGCAGGCGCAAATCCCGTGATGGGAACAAGGGCAGCCGCGAGGGAAGCAAAGGCCGAGGCAAAGGCAAGAAGGGCGGAAAGAAAGGAAAGGGGAAGAGAGATGATGGATCCCGCTCGTCGGGCCACAGCAGCCATGCCACCACGGGTTCCAACTGGCCAAGCCGAAGCTGGGATGGAAGTTGGGACGATGGTTGGTGGGGTTGGCAGGATTGGCAAGGCTCTCAGAGCTATGGTTCCCAGAGTTACGACTGGGGAGGCCAATCCTATGGACGAGTGCCATTGTCCTCGAAGCCCTCAAGGACCGGATGGTACCCAACCGATGACGGCAGGTACTCCTACTGGAATGGACACAGCTGGGGTGATTGTGAATCATCACCCCCAGGAAGGACCCGGGAAGTTCACTCTATGGTGGAAGATCCCGATGAGTCTGGCAAGAGATCCAAGGGATCAGAACGACCTCCAGAGCCTGCTGAAGGACCAGTCAAAAGGGAAGAGGAGTCGCCCAAGAGAAAGCCCAGGAAGTTGCCGTTGCCACGGCAGCCAATGGGTCCACCTCCACCTCCTCCGAAGCAGGAGTCGCGCACTAAGGAAGAGAAAGGGCCATCACCTCCAAGAGAGGAGCCTTCCCGAAGGTCGGAGCGCCGCAGCGGAGACCGTGACAGAGATGAGCGCCGTGAAGGCCGTGGTGACGATCGCGGTCGGCGAGATGAAGGTCGCGGAAACCGAGATGCTGATGGAGGCCGAGACAGAAGGAAGGACGAAGACCGATCGAGGAGAGGACCTCCAAGGGAGGATGAGAAGAAGAATCCAGCCAAGAAGAGCAAGGCTGGGCCGCCGAGCGGTGGCGGTGGTGATGGAGGCGATGGACCTGATGACAGCAGCTATACATATAGCTATGAAGAAGAGTCTGGGGAGTCGGAGCAACAGACCCCAGACCCGTCAGTCCGAGGATCGACAGCCGGCAGCGCCCGGTCACATCGGTCACGCCGCTCCCAGCCTGGCAGCGCCAGATCGGGAGGGTCCCGCCACCGAGGAGGACAAGGTTCTGAAGCATCCACGGTAAAGACACTTGAGCTGCAGGAGATGCTGCAGAATGCTGCCAAGAAGCAACAGCCGGAGCGCTCGAAGCCGGCTATCAGCCAAGTCAAGATAGAGCCGTTCCGCGGCAACAGGGACAAGTACCGTGACTGGAAAAAGATGCTGGACGCGCAAAGAGCGTTGTACCGGCTTGACGACTATGAAATGGCTCTCCTGATTTACATCAGCTGCGAAGGCGAAGCTCGCCACGAGATCTCGGAGATCCAAGGCGAGAGAGGGCTTCAGAGAGTTCTCCGTCTTCTAGAAGACGCCTTTGGTTCCCGTGCAGACGAGCGATTTGAGCAGAAACAGGAAGCGTATCTCTCTTATCGCCGTACTCCTGGCACAATGCATCGCGGCGTACATCGCCAACCTTCGCAGGTTGCGCGAAGAGTACTTGAAAGAAGACGAAGGTACGGTCATTTCAGACCGTGCTTTTGCACAGAGGATGCTGGGCAGAGCAGCATTGACACGGCGTGAACGCTACGATGTGTTCTTCAGCGCAGGTGGCAAATATGTGAGCAAACGCATAGAAAAGGTGCTGCGCTTCAGATGCTCAGACATCCACGTTCAGGAGAAGCAACAGTCTCCAAAGCCGAGGACTGCAACCGGCAGCTCCGGATACAAAAAGCCCTTCGCAAAGCGGCCGAGCCAGCAGTATGCGAAGAGGACAGACCGCCGTAGCCCATATCGCCCATCCAGGCACACTCATCTGGCCGAGAACGCGGACGAGGAAGAAGACCCGGATGAGGTCGATGAGGAAGACCTAGAGCAAGAAGCTCTGATGGCCAACGATGATGAGCAGGATGAGGGTGATGAGGGGGAGTACTACGACGAAGAGGAGGAGGATGATCGCTATGATCAATATGATGAGGAAGATGAGACAGGCACTACCTGGGAGCTGAAGGAGGCTTTTGCGGCCGGATGGTCTGCGAAGTCAAGAGCTGCCGGGAAGAAGAAGGCCCGGGGCTACTCAGATGGCCCATCCTCCTCGAAAGGCGGTGGAAAAGGGAAGCAGCGCAAAGAGTGGCGCGATCCCAATGAGCGTAAGAAGAAGTCCCGTTGTGCAGCATGTGGACAGATCGGCCACTGGCATTCCGATCCGCAGTGCCCCAGAACAGTGGTGCCAGTGGAGGGACAAACCCTTCAGGGACAGGAGCCAACTTCACTGGAGCAGTCTCCAGTACCCCTGCCAATGATGACAAGGAACCCCCGTGTTTCACGAGTCACCTGGACGTTCGTGAATGGCTGGGACATGGTTGGGGAGTACTCCAGTGCATCCGATGCACTTCTCACGTCTCCTGAAGAGTCAAGCGAAAGTGAGGCCGAGCCGGCCATATACAGCAAGGCGTCTGAGCCACGCGCCAAAGCCGCGGCAGCGCCGCCGGCCACCAAGTATAAGGTGGATTTGAAGAAGGTGTTGCGAGCTTAATGGCAACCATCACTGAAGATGAGGACGCACTAAAGAAGATTGAGAAGAAAGAGCGTCGCATCACCCGAGAAGAAGAAGCTGCAGAGAAAAAGCGACGCGAGAAGGTGCAGCGCGCCCACGAAAGGGTTCAATCCTTCAAGAGCACCGATGCTGGAGCACAGGAGATACTCACCATGCTGCCGTATCTGGACAAGCAAGAAAAGAAACACCTGTATAACGCCCTCAAGCCGGAGCAGGAAGAAGAGGAAATGAAGCACTTTCACCATGACTACGACAGAGAGATGGTGAAGAGATCTGGTGATCGACGTGGAGGATATACCGCGAAGGCAGCGCCTCGCCCAAGCACGGCTGCGTCCAGTGCTCGTGGAACAAATGATCCCCCTCCCGCAAAGTCTGAGAACCAGATGCCGGAACCCGTCCGAAAGAAGAAGTTGAAAGAGTTCCGATGGCATCTGTACGATGCCTCTCTGGATCGGAAAGGGAGATGCAAGCCATCAGAGGCTAGTGACTTAAGCACCAAGGAACAAGAGCTGTGAGGTTGCGGCTTAAAGAAAGTGCTGTATTACAGCCGTGAACATGGAGCGCTGGCAGCCGAGACGCACCAGGTGAATGAAGATGTTCATGCCACCTATGTCATCAACTCTGATGATATCATCCTGGACACGGGGTGCAGAACCGCAGTGGCGGGTGAGGAGTGGCATAACAGATTCCAACAGATGTTGGATGACAAGGACCTGCACTAAGAGACAGTGCAGCATGAGGAGATCTTCAGGTTTGGTGCAGGCAAGCCGGTGCTGAGCACTGAAGCGGTGGTATATCCAGTGCAGCTCGGGATGGAAGGACCGTTGTCCTACCTGAGATTGGCCGTCGTGCGGCGGACTCGTGATGATGACCGCATGGCCCACTGTCCTGCATTGGTTGGACCATCGGAGATGAAGCGATGGGGTGTGGTGCTGAACTTTTCGGACGGCACCATGCAGATCGGTGAAGGAACCACTTGGAAACCAACGAGACACCCTGTGATTTCCCTGCTTGGCAATCGAAAGCCGTCAGCATGGACACCCCGGAATTGCGCAAGCTGAAAGATACCCTGATCCGAGACCCATACTCCATGGCCTTGGTGGCGGAAGCTTTGGGAGAGTCCACAGACTCAGAGGCACCGAAGGTGCAGTCCGAAGCTGGAGAGGGAGTGAGGTTGAGGCTCAGGATCTCGCCAGATGGCAAGAAGGAATGGAAAATGAAGCAATAATGGCACTGTGGGATGTTGTGAAGCCGCAACTCCCCAATGACTGTTTCCGCGTGGCCGCGCCACAAAGCGATGAGGAATCCAATCTGGGTTCAATCAGTGACTCTGTGTCAGAGACTTCTCATGAGGTGGAACTGAGCGAGACAAGCTCGTCCGAGACTGAAGATGAGTACATGGAGTGACATACGGCGCTGACAGCGGACAATGCTGGAGATGAAGAAACCCTGAACAAAGGTCAGCGACGACGACTGCTGGCTGCGACCATAAGCAGATCGCAGATGCAGCACGCAATGAGGTACTGATGGCCCAGCGGACGAAGAAGGAGAAGGTCCCAAGGCCAAAGAAACTTCCTTGGAAAATTCTGGAAGAGTTCACATGGTCATGCATGATTTCCCAAGTCGCGAGTTCGCGTGGCTGGGAGTTCTTGGAGCCGGTGACGCTTGAAAAGCGGTTGGGATTTGCGTTTCCCAGATGTCCAGGACAAAGCCATGAACTACATTGAGGCGGCTGCGCCGGACCTCATTGTCTTGGCCTGGCCATGCCTGGCCGTGTGGCCCTTGGAGCCCTCTTCAGGCTTTGAATCAGAAGACTCCCATGCAGCGCCGAGCCCTGCAGATGAAACGTCGGCAGGAGCCGCAGAACCTTTCTGGCGTTTGTGCGCCGAGTCGCGCAGTATCAGAGAGCTCGGGGAGGTGCAGTAGTAGGAGAAAACCTGGCACCATCCAAAGCGTGGGAACAAGAGGAGATTCAAGAGGCCTTCATGGGCTTGGAACACAAAGTGATGGATCAGTGCCGGTACGGCCTACGACATCCAATCACCAAAATACCGATGAGAAAAAGGACCCGGCTTGCAGGCCAGAAAGAGGTCCTCAAATATATGGACAAGAAGTGTGGCCGAGACCACCAGCATCACCCCATTGAAGGCAGTTTCAAGGGTGAAGATGGAAAGTGGCACTCACTCAGTGCCTGGGCAGGTGGCTATCCTGTCGAGTTTTGCAAGAACATCCTGATGGGCGCGGAGGAGTTTCTGATCTCCAATAAGGCCTATGTAGAGGATGCCGGAGAAACGGTGCCAGATGTTGCTGATGGCATCGATGCAATGGACGAAGAAGAGCGCATCAAAGAGCTTGAGGAAGAGAAAGTCCCAGAGGTGGATGAAGCTGAAGAACAGGGACTGGAAGAAGAGCAGAGGCATCCAGTCCCCAAGGAGGTGCAGAAGGCTGTGATCTTCGCGCACCGGCAGTTGGGCCATCCTTCGCGCAGCACTTTGCTGCGGATGCTCAAGCTGTCAGGAGCAAATGAGGATGCCCTGCGGTTTGCCAAAACGTGGAAGTGTGACGTGTGTGCCATGCGTCAACCACCAAAACACCCACGTGCAGCGGCGGGCAGCATCCGCCCGTATGGGTTCAACTTGCATGTGCACGTGGATGTGAAGTATCTGCTGGATGCCCGGGACAAGAAATATCCAGCTCTGAGCATTGTGGACGTTGGGACACTGAAACATGACTGCCATCTCCTCAAGACTCGCCGCAGTGAATACACGGCAAAGAAGTTCCTGAAGAGGTGGGTCACAGTCTATGGCCCTCCCAAAGCCGTGACTCATGACCAAGGTGGAGAGTTTGAGTTGGCTTGGGTCCAATTGATGGAAGACCTGGCCATTCCAACGGATGTGACATCAGCTCATGCACCTTGGCAGCTCGGTATTGGCGAACGCCATGGAGGAATCCTTGGATCAATGGTCCAAGCAATAGTGGACGAGCATGGGTGCGAAGGTTTCTCGGCCCTCCAAGAAGCGGTGGCGGCAGCTTGGCTTGCATGGCGAAGAAATCCACTCTCACGCGGGATGGATACACCCCACACCAACGGGTATTTGGATTTGAGTGCCGGTGGCCCTCACTTCTGGATGAGAATGCGGCACCCAGCTTCGCAGAGGGACTGTCCATTGAGTCCGAGGTGAGCCGAGCTCACAAAATGAGGATCACTGCAAAGGTGGCGCTGGTGCAGCAGGATGTGAGGGATAAGGTGCGGCGCGCCGTGTTGAGAAAGCCCCAAACATCCGAAGGGCCGTTCTTGCCAGGAACACGTGTGTACTTCATTGTACTTCTGGGTGCCGTCCACGACAAAAGGGAGGTACCGACCAGGAGGACTCTGGCGTGGCCCATCCACAATCATCACCAAAGAGCGAGGCAAGCGCTATTTCGCTTCATGGCGCGGACGCCTGCTCCTCTTGGCAGAGGAGAACCTCCAACTGGCCACACGTGAGGAGTCAGCCCTTACAGAGGAGGTGCGAGACGAAATGGTCGACCTTGGAGATGTTTTGAGAGACCCAGCGAGGTCAAACATCTACGAGGATCTGAGGCCAAAACCTCCACCTCCGAGGCAGCGCCCTCCAAGGAGGAAACGAGAAGGGCCGGCAGCGCCAGAGCCCGAAGTTCGGAAACGAGCAAGGCTGATGCTCAGGGGAAGCAAGGCCATTCGAGGTCTTATGCAGAAATATGCGAAGATGACAGGGATGCCAAGACAACCGGCAGTTGCCCCAAGGGCTCCAAAGAGAAAAAGGATCTTGGATGGTCCTGCTGAGGAACCAGCGGCGCTGGAACATCAGGAAGTTGCTGAAAATCCTGCCATTGAGGATGGAGAGGCAGCTGACGATGATCCTGTTGATGGCGATGTTGGATCAGGGGGCTACACACCTGGGACCCCTGTAGAGGAAGATCCTCCAGAGGAGGCTGAGCTGCCAGAGCAGATGCCTGAGGCAGTGCCTCCGGAAGAAGAGGCTGCGCCTCCGTCCGAAAATCCGCCAATGCCGGCGGCGCCGGAAGGAACAGGATTACAGCAGGATTGGAACAGAGCACTTCGTGCACGACGTGCAAGGCTGAGTGATTTCCGAGAACAGCTGCTGGATGATGTTCCGGGTTCAGTCAAGAGAAGGCTGGAGTACCCCAGCAGGAGCAAGACACGCCGCCGGTGAAGAAACAGAGGGCCCATGAAGGACTAACAGTGCACGCTATGATGGGTGCAGCAGAGGAAGGTGGATTGCAGAACGAATGGGTAAGCCGGTTTGAGATAGATCTGCTCAAAAGACTTACTGGTCTTCCGGTGACTGCTGCAAGGATCCACCGTGCACCTAGAAAAAGGATGCAGAAGCCACCCAAGATGATTTCCAGAGCCAGGCTGTCCATTTTATTGGGCGAGGATACTGGTGATATCTTTGTTCTAAGGCAGCAATCACGATTCTGCACAAGGTATCGCATACCACAATTTTATCGTTCTCCACTCTTGCGAACTGGCTGTACTGGATGATGTGCATGTGAAATATGTTCCCACTGGTTAAGTTCGCCCAAACTAAAGACCGACGCTCATCAACACTCATCATGGCGCTTTCCAAGATCCTGAAGGATCGTAAAGTGGTGCCGCAGCCAGCGGTGTCATTGGGTGATGTGAAGCGCCGGTTGAGTGGAATCCATGTCTTGGGACAGATGAAGGTCTTTCCTGACCAACTATTGATTAATGAACCACTCAACTATTGGGAGTAAATGAGACAAAATGTGTGGGTCTTGACTGACAGAGACTGACAGTGGGCGACAAACAATCCAAACGCAGCTGGGGGGTCAGTTTTGTCTAAAGATCCAAGACACTGAAGGAGTAAATTTATGATCCATAACCTACATGGGTTGGGGAATTTTGTGATTGCTGACAGTCGTGATCCTTAGCATAGCAGGGGTGGATTCGTGATCCGTAGCATACCAGGGGTGGATTCGTTCTCCGTAGCATACCAGGGGTGGATTCGTGCTCCGGAGCATACCAGGGGTGGAATAGTTCTCCGTAGCATAGCATCGTTCTTCTCAGCATACAACCGGTCTCCATAGAATACTCTTGGTTTTCATTTTTTGTTTTTTCCAATTTCATCGAAAAAAGTCTGGATCACCGAAATCCTGGAGAATGTTGCGGCCAAAAAAAACTTGATTTTCCTTGGGTTTTTGAATGTTTTTTTTTGGGGATTCCCATTCTCCAGGTTTTTCGTGATCCAGGCTTTTTTCGATGATTTCGTCCGAGGCTGATTTTTTCCAAAACCAACAGTTTCACCACAGAACAAGAGCTTCGTGATCCGTGGCATACCAGGGGTGGATTCGTGATCCTTAGCATACCAGGGGTGGATTCGTTCTCCGTAGCATACCAGGGGTGGATTCGTTCTCCGTAGCATACCAGGGGTGGATTCGTGACCCACGACATATGAGGGGGCAATCTCTGATCCACAACATTTGGGAGCTGGTACCATTTTATGAACATAGACTTGTGGTCCCCCCAAAATAAAACATTAGCGAGGTCCGGATACATCAGCAAATTGGGGATGGATTTTTGGGATGGATTGCTTACTGATCAATAAGAGCATTTGCAAATGGTTGTTTACTGAAATGAGGGAGCAATGCTTGATTGAATACATATTATTTGGGAATCTGGACAGGCTCTTGTTTTCCAACACAAGCCCCAAATTGTTAGAATTTTGTTCAAAGCAGAAAATTACCACCCCAAATATCATTGGATTGTTACCACAGCTCTGCGCTGTGACGGAGGCAAAATGAGACAAAACAAGTTTGGGCACTAGGTGAACGCTGAGCAGTGTCACTATGGATCTTTTCCACCAAACTCTAGGATCCGATGCATTTGTACATTCAATTCTCACGAAATGGAAATCCATCAAAAAAAGGATGGATCTGGATTAGCTATGGGGGATGGCGCGTCTTGGTTTAGATTTGTGGTGGAAGAGACGGCTGCGCAGGTGAAAGATCAACCCAGGAGGAAAGCTGGCTTTAGGTGGCGCGGAATGACTTTGTTCTTCCGAGAGGACAAGGGCCCCCCGCCGAAGAAGAATGGCCAATTGTTCCCAACAAAGATTCAGCTCCCGACCGGTGTGTACGAGGTGATGCTCACCTGGGAAGAAAGGCGGGAGTTTGAATTGCAGTACGTCCAAGACGTGAAGGATGTGCTGGTCGCAGAGGTGATGCTGCAGAAATTGAAGGCCAGTGGAAAGGAACTTGATCCGAAGGCCTTCAACGAAGAAGAAAAGAGAGCTTTCGATGCTTCGGACACACAGGAATGGAAGCAGTGGCTGGACAACGGTGTGGTCCGAAAGCTGACACCGGCTGAAGCCGCGAAGGTTCCCCGGTGGGAAATCTTCAAGAGCCCACTAAGATGGGTGAGAACCAATAAGACAGGCAACCTGCTGTTGCCGCTGGTTGCAAAGAGCCGTTTGGTGATCCCTGGACATTTAGATCCTCAGCTGGGATCTTTCAGAGCTGACAGCCCTACGGTGTCGCTGCAAGGTGTGCGACTTACCAAGGCCGTTGCCCAGAGAAATGGGTGGACCACGGACAGCTTCGATGTCACGACAGCGTTCTTGAGTGGAGAGAAGACATCAAGACGTATCCATGTGAGGTCACCTGATGGTGGACTGCCGGCTGTGCCGGGGATCTCACCAGCCATCAAGGCAGGCGAATTGCTACAGGTGATGAAATCGGCCTATGGCCTCACCGAGGCACCTCGCCTTTGGTACCTGAAGGCGGTGAAGGAGCTGGAGACAACGCCACTCAAGGAATTGAGTGTGGCGCGTTCGACCTTTGTCGCCAGCGAGAAAGGCAAGGTGTGGGCGATCCTATGCCTGCATGTGGACGATGGCCTTTTGACTGGCCGAGCGGATGATCCGCGCTACTTAAAGTTGAAGGAAGAAATCAACACCAGGTTTCGAATCAAAGAATGGAAGAAACCACCCATGACCTTCTTGGGTGTTGGTGTTCGATACGGTGACAAGCCTGGGATATATGATGACATGTCTTCTTACATCAAGGAGATCAGGCTTCCTGAGGTGGACACTCGTACGATGTCCGGAAGACTGAATGAGAAGCAGACCACGGCATACCGACAACTGACCATGAGGTTGCGTTGGCCGGCATTAATGCAGACTATGCCACATCGCCTGTACGAGGTGAGCCGCCTGGCACAGAGAGTGACGAAGGCGACCAAGGAGGACTATTGTGAGGCATTGAAGCTTCACGGAAAATTCCTGGAAGAAGCACAGCAAGGCCGTGCCTGCTTGCATTTTCCGCCCCTTGGGAAGGAGAAGCTCTGCCTGGTGACATATTTTGATGCTTCTCTTGGAAAGGAAGAAGATGGCAAGTCCCAGCTTGGGTCAATTCACTTCCTGACCACGGTCAAGGTCAAGGAAGGGCCAACTGAGGCCACAGTGATTGACTTCACCACCACCAAAAGCTCACGCGTGGTGAGGAGCTCTATGGCAGCAGAAAGCTGCTCACTGAGCCAAGCCATCGATCGCCATCTATATCTGAGATTATTACTCGACATGCTGACGAGGGGTTCTTATCCTATCACTCCAAACTGGAGGAAGGAAATGAACATTGAAGGAGTGGTCATCACCGATGCCAAATCGGTATATGATCACATGCAGACGACAGGTCAAATTCCACAAGAGAGACAAACAATGTTGGATCTCTTGGTGGCAAAGGACCAGTTGGAACAGCAAGTTTTCCAACTTATGTGGGTCCCTACCCATCGTCAACATGCGGACGGTCTTACGAAACGCATACGAAATGTTTTGTGGGAAGAATTCGTCCGGACAGGTAAGATCTCTCTGCGAGAGACACCTGAAGAAAAGGTGCCAGAAGAGCACCGACGGAAGATCCGTCAAGGTCAACGGCAGCGCCGCAAGGAGAAGTTTGCAAAGACAACCTCTCCGACTGTCAGTGGCAGCGCCACCAGTTCAAAGTCGCAGCGTGGTTGCACCACCCGACGAAGCACAAAGAGTGGCCGCGCCACCTAATTCGTTTTGCCAGCTGTACAGATGCAGCTCCAACATTCCTTTTCTGGGATGTGAGTAGGGTCTTGTAGCTGCATGTGCACTTGTATAGATGTAGTGTTTTTACCGCAGTTTGGCCCAAACGATTTGCGACGTGAAAAAGGCCTGCTGCCCAGGCTGTGCCCTTGTGATTCAAACTTACTTTTTCTAACTGAGCCCAATCTATCCCTGGAAGGGAAGCTACCTTGCATTCTCCGCAGCTATTACCATCTATTACCTATTTTGATTTGTGTGAAAATGAACGCCCAAATCAAACCCGTCCTCTCTCGCGTCAAGCCGATACTTCTCGCGATATGAAATTGCAATCGAACAGTGCAGTAGGTGGAAACTTATTGTTTGAAGAAACCTTAGTGTAGCTCAATCTGAAACTTCAATTTGAGTTGAAGGTTCCCAAATAGTGACATGTGGTACTGTGGTTTGACTTTTCTTGTTTTGTGGCTTGTATGGTGTGCATTTGTGCCACTGCAGAAAAGGTTGCCCCACACGAGAATAATCGAGCATGGCAAATATAGTGTTGGCAACCAGATATGCTGTTGCTTGTTTTCTGCAAGCCCTGTTTTTTTTCCGATGATTGGAGGGTGGATCACTTGCAAAATGCTGGTTTTCCTATTGTTAGTGTTGGTGGAGCAGGCGGAACATTTGAAATGTAAAAGGGAATCAGATCGCATCTCAGAAGCATGGATGAGTAGTTAAATACTTCGGCCTCTTGCAATCAATAGATGGGAATAGTTACTAGCCAGCTCAAAAATGCATGGTATTTATGGTCATGCTACGTAAGAACCCTATTCATACCTTTGCTTGCAAGAGGTGGCAAAAGGGGCAACATATCCACTCGACATGTGACTTCAACTGCCTTTGAGAGCTGTGTATCAACCCTTTCGACCCCTTTGTCACGCCTCGACATTTCCACCTCGACATTTCCTTGTCATGTCCGGTCCCAGGGTGACACTCGCATCGCGGGTCTCTGCGACCGATGGAGCCGGTCAAACCCGCGACTATGCCGACGAAGCTCGGATTGGCACGTCAGTGACCGTCAGTGGAGTTCGATTGCACTGTGAACACCAGAGAACAGCGAGACCCCGTGAGACAACAAGAAACGCAAAAACATCAACGAAAACAGAGAGGAGTGGCATAGTCAGGATTGTGAAGCAGCAGTTTCTGGGTCCAGGGTAGCTGCAATGTCACTGCAAACGGGAGGGTTGACATCGCGGAGGTTGTTTCAGTTTGGATGTTGTCTTTCTGCTTGAGTTTGCAGCTCTAGTTCTCGGATCTGGGATATGAAAATTGCCATTTTCTCTTCTTTACACGAATGGCGCCAAGGAGGAGGAGTTGGCTCTTGCGGCTGAAAAGGCCGAGTTGAGAGAGTTTCCACTCAGATAACTTTCGCCGGTAGGATGTGATTTCCGAATACTTTGAAAGATCATTTAAGACATGCATATGTGCAGTATTGTATAATTATATTATATATTATATATTATATATTATATCATATATATTGTGGGAAAAAACTGTGTCTCACCAGTTGAGTGCTGCCAGGAATACCAGGCGTTGCTCGCCCGAGGGATGGAGCTGAACTCCGATGCCATGCATCAGCTGCACGAGGATGTGATCCTGACACGTCATTGGACCGTTACGACGTTGGACACGACATTGGTGCGATGCTCGGGACGACTTCCTTGCAACTTGCTAGATCTATGTATATAATTGTCGAAGGAAGTTTAGAAGTCAAACTTCCGACAATATGGACAGATGAAAAGCAGAGCAGGGCAGAGGCAGAGAGAAGAGAAAGATTAGAAGAGAGAAGATCAGAGAAGAGAAAAGAGTCAGAAGAAAGAAGATGCAGATGCGCGAAAAGGTAGGAAAGTCGCGAGACACTGTGTTTTTCCAATGATTTGTGGCTCCGGAGGGTCGAAAAGTAGGCTCGCTAAAGCGGCGGGCCAGATGAGAGATGAAAATTTGCACGCCGTTGTGGCGCGAAGCACATTTTGAAGTCAAAATGTACAAAGCACACCATTGTCGGACCACTTTTGGAAGTTGCGATGTCGAAAAAGTGCACGCCGTTGTGGCGCAAAGCACATTTTGAAGTCAAAATGTACAAAGCACACCATTGTCGGACCACTTTTGGAAGTGTAAAAACTCCTGCAGTAAAACCATGTAGTGTATATATCATCGATCTACTCTGTAGCGTTGGTTCAAAACAGTGCCAAGAGCTGAGCGGCAATTAGGTCCCACTATAGGTGTTTTACCCTATTGTTGGCTGACCTGTTAAATTACAGGTTATCAGCCGTAGTCTCACTACTTTGCTATGGGGACCCCAATTGACCATCCTCTCGCCGTTCCAGGGTCAGGTCCATCGGCTGTCGCTGTGCCCAATGTGGCCGGGGGCAACCCCGAGCCGATGGATGACGAAACAATGTTCCAACCCGTTGTCGCGTACTTTACCTTCATACAAAACAACCTGTCCCAGATTACTAGTGGGAATACCCTGCAAGTCATGAGGGAAGCTGAACAGAGGCACCTTCAGATAATGCATGGAGTAGTTGACTCAATTCGAAACGAATGGTCAAGTAGACTCGTAATGCAGGAGCAGGAGTATGAGCAAAGGCTGCAGGAGATTGAAGGTAAGGCCATTAGTGCCGTCAACGAGGAGAGGAAACGAGGCGATGAGATGGAGGTCAGGTTGAATCAGGTTCAGGCATCGAATGACAAAAGAATAGAGGATGTAAAGGCAGAGGCAAACACAAAGCATGATCAGAAAATTGCAGAGGAAAGGCAACGTATCACTAGTGAATTCGAAGCTTCTTATGCACAGACAGTTGAACATGCAAAGAATGCCATAGCTGCCACAAAGAAGCAATATGAAGATCAGGCTGCAATTGATCAGGCCAGGTTCATCAGTTTGAGGACCGAGTTCGAGAACTACAAGAAGGAGATGGCCGACAAGATCAATGAGGCAGCGGCTCAGAACCTTAGCCTTCAGGACCAAATCGATGACCTTCAGGAGCAGTTAAAGCATGTTGCCAAAGCGCAGCATGCCTCCGTTCCGAGAGCATCCGCCCTGAATGCCGAGCCAGCCGCTACCACTAGCGTGCCCCACTTCAATATTGCCACTCCCAAAGCATCCGATGCACAGGCTGCCAAAGGCAGTGACGAGCCGATTCATGAGTTGAAGACGCCTGCAGTGTTGGCGCAAGAAGCAAAGGCCAAGTTGGATGAGCTGCTCAAAGGTGGCAGTCCCAAGCAAAAGCCGGCGGTCGGCAACGACCAGCCCCAATTGCCAACGCAGTCAGGGTTTTTCACTCCCACTGAAGCTATCAAAACTCCCCCAAATGACTCCCCCAAGAGCGTAACCAAGCAACAGCAAGTTATGGGTCCCTCAGATCTTATTGAATTGGTGAAAGCCTTAACCCAAAGGGAAGAAAAGGATAAGCCAAAAACTAAGGAGGCCGAACTCATCAAGCTGAACAACATGCCCGCTCCGGAGTCGTATAGGACTTGGAAGAATCATGTCAGGGATGAAGTGAAAAGCTGTTCAGATCGCCCGGATGAGGCGTGGCTCTGGCTCAATGAGGTGTACGATCAAGAGTGCACCAGAGAGCAGTTGGAGAAGAAACTCCAAGATCCTGGAAAGTTCCTCACGCTGGATACAAAGTTATCAGCAGCGCTCACGCGCTCAGCCGGAGGGGACCTCGCAACTAGGATCTTGAATTTCAAGGAGCAGCAATCCCGAAAAGGCATCCAGGTCAGGAGAAGGTATGTTCTGCTCATGTTTGAGGACTACTTCAAGACATCAGAAGAAGCAGGTAGCCTTTACAGAGTAGAAGATCTTTTGGGTGTTGTCAAAGTAGGCGATACTGTCCAGGACCTCCGAAGATTCATCAACAAATGGGATGCTACCCTAGCTGGCATGGCTGTCACCCCCGATGATGCTGTGTTAAGGGACATCTTGTTGAGGCAGATCCGACCAAGTCAGTTGCTGAAGTATGACATTGAGATGTTTGACCGTGCTCATGAGAAATCCCATGAAAAGTCTTATAGTTTTCTTCACCAATCCATGAAGAACTTGATCGATCGCGAACGATTGAGGGAGAACAGGAACCGCATCGCGGAGAAGAACAAGGCTGGGATTAAGGACGCAAAGGCCGCACCTGCCAAAGGCGATGGTCGCGGTGGCCGAAAGGGCTCCCCAAGTCGTGGTAGATCGCAGGAACGAGGTGGCAAAGGTGACAAGATTTGCTATAAGTTCCAAAAGGGTACCTGTGATAAGGGGAAGAAATGTCCATTTAAGCATGTCAAGGATGACAAATCTCGAACTCAATCACCCAGAAGAACCAAAACACGTTCACCATCAAGGGGCAACAAAGATGACAAGGGGAAGAAAATGTCCAAGGAAGAAATGGCCAAAACCCCATGTATCTATCATGCCCAGGGAAAGTGCAGACGTGGTGACAAATGTTTTTATAAGCATGATGACAAAGCTGCTGCCGCCACCAAAGACACCAAAAGGGCTAATTCACCCGCTCCCAAAAAGAAGAGCAAGGATTCTACAGCCGCTCCATGCCTGATCCAGAAGTTTGCATGCATCGTGCGAAAACAGCCGAAGGCAACTTCGTGCTCCGACGAGTCAAGTGTCAGCATGAAGCGCCTTAGATTCCGAAAGGCCCCACACGTGATCGACGTGAAAGCAGTTGGTCGTCAAGTCCCAGTCAAGCACCGTCCAAGAGAGTTCACTGAGGTGTACAAGACAGCTGAAGATGTTCCGGTTTCATCCAAGGTTGAACAACATGAGGCTCAGGTTCGTGCAAGACAGCTTCAAGAAACTGTGAAACTTCATGATTCAGATGTTGCACCTAGTTGTGGGTTTTGTTGTTGGAATGAGGACACACGTGACATCACATGCAAAGAGTGCAGGTTCATTAGCGGTCCCAAAGCCCTTAGAGACATTGGCCGATTCCCGTCAATTG